TTAAAATCATACTACCAAAAATTTTGCCACATGTTACTTTTGCCGTAAATAGTGTGCTAACCACTTCCACTTTCCCTAAAATATGGAAGGACGCCAAAATACTTCCTGTTCGTAAGGCAAATGGTGACTATAGGCCAATATCTATACTACCGTATTTGTCTAAATTAAGCGAAAACCTAATGGCCAAGCAAATCAACAAATATGTAGAGACAAATGGTCTGTTAAACAACGCGCAATCAGGTTTTAGGAAAAATAGGAGCTGTGTAACAGCCTTGCTGAATATAGTGGAGGAAACCAGGGAAAGCATGGAGGAAGGCAAAGTAACTCTACTGACCCTTCTAGACTTTAGCAAAGCCTTCGACACCGTGAACTATGATATTCTGTGCTCTAAGCTAATAAGAATGTTTAACTTCTCTGTAACAGCAGAGAAATTAATACGCTCTTACTTAAATTGCAGACGTCAAGCCATAGTTACGTCCACTCAAACTTCCAACTATGAACAGCTTTCTAGAGGAGTTCCGCAGGGATCTGTTCTAGGACCTCTTCTTTTCTCTATGTATGTTAATGAGCTTCCAAATGTTGTGTCCTCGTGCAAAGTCCATATGTATGCCGATGACGTTCAAATGTGTGTATCGCGTCCTTTGTCCAGAATAAATGAATGTGTAGTGATGTCAAATACTGAATTGTCGGTAGTAAACAAATGGTCGAAGCTAAATGGTCTACAAATAAACCCAAAAAAGTCTAAATGTTTGGTTATCTATAATAAATTAGTCGATACCACTACCCTGACACCATTAGTAATAGATGGTGCAGTTATTGAGTATGTTGAAAAAGCAAATAATCTGGGTATCATATTCAACAAAACACTCACTTGGAGCGACCATATTAACCAAGCTATTGGAAAAACATATGGTTCTTTAAGGTCACTGTTCCATACTCAACAATTCTTACCAGAAGGGACAAGACTTCTAATGGCAAAAACCTATTTAATACCGGCATTATTCTACGGCGTCGAGATATTCGGAAACAGTGATGCAACAAGTAAACAAAAACTTAATGTAGCGTTTAATAGTGTTGCGAGATATGTGTTTAATGTAAGACGTGGGCATCCGATTTCAAGTTTAGCGTACAAGATATTTGAAGTTGATCTTCAATCATGGATCCAATTTAGGGCATTAGTGGCATTGCACAAAATAATTAACACCAAAGAACCCGACTATCTCTACAAAAAACTAACACATACCAGTTCGAGACGAACGAATAACATTGCCTGCATTAGACACAAAAGAACTTTTTCTGAAAAACAATTCTTTATTTTTGCTGTTCGCTATTGGAACGAACTTCCCAATGGATTAAAAATAATTAAGAGCGTACCGAAATTTAAATCAACATTAATTATACACCTTAAAAACCGTTAATATAATGAGAGAAATTAGTTTAAATTAGTTTAAGTACCCCCAACATCAGTTTAAATTTGTAAAAAAAACTATATGTTTCAATGAAAATTTGTATCCCATTTTGTTCATTTTCTATTCTTTATTTTTGTTTTATGTATGTTATATATAGTATTTTCATTTATTATGTGTCTTTTCTTTGTAACTGTCTTTAAAATAACTGTTTTTTTCTTAAGATTATTTTCTAAATTATTCTAATCAAAAGTATTGTAATTCACGTGACTAGCACATTAATATATAAGTTCAACTTGTAGTGCTAGGAATTTTAAATAAATAAATAAATGAAATAAAAAAAAAAAAAAAAAAAAATGTAACTAGGCTGACTGTCCGTAATCGTTGGCACAACAAGCGCCGTTAGAGCAACAGAGTATTCAGAAGAACGCGACTGGAGGGAGATGTTGACTGTAGATCCTTCAGATCAGGAGCAGGAACTTGCAACGGTGAATCATCAGGGCGTAGATGGAGCAGCGTGTGGTGTTTTCCACCGCATGTGCGGCAATAGCCGGAGTTGCACGTTCGAGTGTGGTGCCCCTTCTTTAGGCAATTGAAACACAATGAAAGTCTTTTTACTCTCCCTTGCCGTAGACTAGGAGACAGATCGGAGAAGGAGCCACAGGAGTATATTCCATGACCAGGAGTATCACAAAAGACGCAGCTACTCTGGCTGACCTGGGCACCAAGTAACGCCCTTCTGGCAGGCCTTGGAGCGGTATGGTCATGGGCCATGTTAGAAGCCAAGGCATGCTGAACGCTCTCCAGTTTCTGGCATCGCCCTTCAAGGTACGAGAGCAAATCCTCCTCGCTTGGAATCCTATCCGTTGACAAACTTTCTTCCCAGTTAGCTTGGGTTGCTGCATCCAACTTTTGCACAATCATGTATACAACCATGCAGCCTGAGATTTGTTTTAAATCTCCCAAGGCCTTAAGCGCTCGCATATGCCCAATAATTTTGTCCGAAAAGTCCCGCAATGCCAAAGCTGACGCAGACTCGAGCCTCTTGAGCCCAAGAATTTCATTGATGTGTGCCTGGAAAACAAGACGTTTATTATTAAAGCGCTTATTTAAGATTTCTAGTGCCGCACGATAATTGGCACCACATATTTCTAGTGATCGAACCGACTCCAGCCAAGTAGGGGTCCTTATCTATCACCGAGGTAAACATGGAGAGGAAGTCAGAGTATTCGGTGTATCCACTGGAGAATGTAGGCAGTTTTACTTCGGGCAGGCGAGTCCTATGCCCTCGATCAACCATGACAGTTGACTGATCCAGGCTGGGATCAAGGCGCATAGTGGAAGATGTTGGCATTCCAAGCTGACTGTTTTCAAGTTGCAGTCTTAGCCGTGACTTGACCGTTACCATGAGCATTTCAAAATTGTCGCTAAGCTCACTGCCGATTTCCGAATAGTCTAGCTCCTCCAGCGCATTGTGGGCAAGCCTGAATGAGGCTTGAGTATGTTCAAGAAGTTCTAGCCGAACTGTCAACTCCGCGGACCCGAACAGACAATTCGCGTCTTTAGCTAGCGAAATATCCAGGCGCTTTAAGCTATTGTACACCGATTCGGCCTTGCACTTCAAAAACAGCACTTTATTTTCAGCCGACATACTATTATGATCTGCCACTGTGTTGCCTTCGTCGGAATTCATCTGCGCGTATATTATATAAAGCAAACCGAAACGCACTGCACAACTCGGGAGTTTACAGTTTCAGAAGTCTTTGTTTTTGTTGTAACGGCAAGAAAGTACAGTAACCAGTTGGCGAGGCACTGTGTATTAACGAACTATGATATCAAACGAAATACCACCGCACTATATGTATATAAGCCCTTGCAAAATATGCCGATATTTATGCAATTATATAACATACGGTATTTTATTAGGACCAGCTTAAAGCGGAACCAGCCTAATGTAACTGTTGTTTTGTTGTCTTCTTTGTGCACTGTATCTTTTTAATAGAGAGATAAGAGGAGCCGCTTAGAAATGAGTGATTCTGACTCTCTCTTTAGTTGTAGTGGTTTGCCGCTGCGCTCAACACTTATTTTCCAAAATCCTTTCCAAATTTGAAAATTGTTTCCCAGAATCCAGCTAAAGATGCATTTATAAAATTAACCAATATTAGTATAAGCACGCGCAATTTGAACAATTAGGTGTAACTAACATATAGTCGAAACTTGGGATATCCATATTCTAGAGTTGGATTGTTTATTTATCGTCTTGTATGTGAATAAAAACGAATCAAAGTGCACCACAAAAACTATGCAAACTATGCGTTTGGGTATAATTCAAAGAAAAAGTCAGCTGTGATTTCGTTTCTTCTTCTTAGTTGGCTTTGGGAAATCAGCTGTCATTCTATCGAGTCGAAAACGCTTAACAGGGACTCCGAGTCCCTGTCAAAGTTAGCTCTCACATTGATGCTCGAGAAAGCCAAAATGCCTTAGCAGGAACCTTATCTGTTCGAGAAACGTTAGCCGGCACTCGAGAAACCGGCCCTTAATCAAAATATTACATATATTTCAGCCAGACCGATTAAGACTTCTTGGGACTAAAACTGTTGCGCCTGCGTTTGTCATATTTAATTTTTTCTTTTCATAGTTTTTATACCCTTGTAGTTGGTATTATAATTTCAGTCAGATGTTTGCAACGCAGTGAAGGAGACGTTTCCGACCACATAAAGTATATATATTCTTGATCAGCACCAATAGCCGAGTCCATCTAGCCATGTCCGTCTGTCCGTCTGTCCGTTTCTATGCGAACTAGTCTCTCAGTTTTAAAGCTATCGCGATGAAACTTTCCCGAAAGTCTTCTTTCTATTGCAGGTAGTACATATGTCGGAGCGAGCCGGATCGGACCACTATATCTAAAGGCTCCCATAGGAATATTCAAACAAATATAAGAAAATTCATTGTAACTTTGTAGGAAGTAGGCGTTTTGATTCTTGACTACTTAAAAACAAAATTTAAATAAATAGAAACGCTGAATCTGGAATCCCTGGAACTGCACCGAGTGAGCATTACTTTATCTGCAAGGGTATATAAGCTTCGGCTGGCCGAAGGTAGCTTCCCTTCTTGTTGATATAGATACCCCACATAAAACATGGCAAACTAGGCATAATTTTGGGAGAGATCCCATAATTTTGTACGGAGATGTAATAATGGTAATTATTCTTATTATACCCGTTACTCGTAGAGTAAAAGGGTATATTATATTCGTGCAAAAGTGCAAGTTTATTTCAGCCGAGCGCCACGCCCCCTCTAACGCCCACAATCGCCCACTAACGATTTTAAAATGGGTCTGGCGCCCACACCTTTAAAGATTTCCGAGAAGTATAAATGCAATTTTCTTGTGTATATTTATACCTATCGAAAAGTACCATTCATTAAAAAGTTATACGCAATCAAAAAAAGTGTATATATCCATCTCCCTCGCACTCCCTTTAGCCGAGTGACGGGTATTTGATAGTCGGGACACCAACCCGACTATAGCATTCTCTCTTGTTATTATTCCTGGTCTTACATTCATATATTAATTATTTTTGATATTTTTAACAGACGGGCCCACAAGACATGGATACCTAGGACCTGCATTCGGCCAAGCAAAAACCGGGAATGCTTCAGGCATTTTCAATTTTTAATTCCAGTGCTTCGATTGTAAATATTACTAAAAAAAAAAATACACAAACAAATATTTAATATTTATCATAATTACATGAAAAAATGTATTTTAATTGTGGGAACTCAGATACTTCAAAGCAGTGGAAAATCGAAACTGGGAGTGTGTGGAAAAGCAGATATTACAAGGAGGGGAAAACCATAACTGGGAGGGTGTGGAAAAGCAGACAGTGTAAGTTGATGAAAACCATAACTGAGTACGTTTGGAAAATCTATAATGCTGGAAGGCGAAAAACCAATGGATTTTGGCCTGCATGTAACTGCCAGAGATCTACATAGAAACCGCATTTACCTTTACTTTTTGTGTCACCCCGAGTATTTTGAAACCAGAGATGGAAGAAATGTAAGGGTTAAATGAGGTTTAGTCCCTTCCGCTTCTATGGAGAAACCTCTTGAAAATATGTTATTTTCCAGAGGAATTTTCCCGGTGGGATACGCCAAAAACTGTCGTCGCAACGCGCCGCCGACTAACCCCCTGTCTTCTTCTTTTTCGTATCGAAGAAAGAATGAGAAGCATAAAAGAAGTACAAAAAGTTTTTCTTAAATCTATGGTGATTTTATAATTCTACTTTTCTGTTTTCAAGAAAAAAATTTTTTTAATTCAGAAAAATTCTTAAAAATTAAAAAATGTACTGTATTTTTTATGGCGACTTTCTAGATTCTAGAAAGGGCTGAAGTAAATTTTTTGTTTATTTAATGGCGAAATCGCCATTAATTTAAGAAAAATTTTGAAGAGCAAACTAGGAAAAAACACCATTGATTTAAGAAAAAAAACATTTTTCTAAATTTTAGAAAGGTTTTTCATAAAATTTTGTTTCTATGGTCATTTTTCCTAGATTTTAGAAAACAATTTTTAAAATTCAGAAAATTTTCTAAAATTAAGAAAAAATTTCATTTTATGGCGATTTTCTAAAATTTAGGAAAAAGCATTTTTTGAGTGTAGCGCTATTTGTACTTTTTGCAATGTACGGTTGCCCATTTCTTTAAATTCTCGTAATAATACTGACTTTAGAATCAGTGCGCTGGGTGCCAGTTGAAATTGTTTTATGCTTTGCATTCCGGCCTGTATATCAAGCGTGTGTAAAAATTGTTTTAAATCAATTTTTCCATTGGAGTACAAATCATCAATTATAAATTGTGAAATTATTCGTTTTCCTCGTTTAAACAAACACTTGTGTTTGACGAATTTAAGCTTCACATATTTTCTGATGTCATTGCTTTTGACAACGTCATAGACTCTGGGCTCAGGATACTCCTGCTTCTGCAAGGATTCCTTTTCGGATTTCTGATCCGGATTTTTTCGTGTTTCTGATCTGGTTGTTATTTTCATTACCTGTCTGTTTATTGATTTTAAATCGTTTATTGTAATTCTGGACAGAGCGTCTGCCACGTAATTATTTTTCCCCTTGAGGTATTCCGCAGTAAAATCATATATTTCTAAATCTAGCCTCATTCTTGTTAATTTTGAACTAGGATCTTTCATTGAAAATAGGTAAATTAATGGTCGATGATCTGTTTTTACTATAAAATGCCTCCCATAAACGTATGGTCTGAAATACTTTATGGCCCAGTGGATGGCCGCTAATTCTTGCTCAGTGGTTGACTTGTTGGACTCCCCTTTTGTAAATGATCGAGACGCATATGCAACTGGTAATTGCGCGCCCCCATGTTCTTGCGTAAGTACCGCTCCGCAAGCTTATTTGCTGGCGTCTGTTGTTATACAGAATTCTTTGTTGAAATCTGGATATTGTAAAAGTCTTGGGCTCATTAAGGCTTCTTTTAAGTAATTAAATGCCTCATTACCATCCGTGTTCCATTCGAAGTTGACATTTTTCTTGCAAAGTTTTGTTATATGTCTAGAATAATCTGCAAAATTTTTTATGAATCTTCCATAGTAATTACAGAATGCTACAAATCTACGCGCCTCATCTGAGTTTTTGGGCACTGGATAATTTTTAATTGCTTCGTATTTATTTTCGTCAGGTAATATACCCTTGTCTGTGCACCTATGACCCAGATAGGTAACTTCGTGCATAAAGAAAGAACATGTTTCTGGATGAAGTTTTAAGTTAAATTTTCGCCATAACTGAAATACTTTTGTTAAATTGGTAAACATATGGTTTTCGGAGCATCCTCTGACTGTCCTGTAGCTTCAGTACAACTGTTGACGAACTTGGTTACGGCTTCGTAAACGTTCCCGCTTGCATTATAAGTTTCACCTTATCCAACGAGCAGTTAGTTGTCATTGCTTTGACAGTGTTTTGAGTGCTGTATTTTGATGCTAATTCTAATGGTAAGCCATCATTGACAGCTCCTTGGAGGGCCTTTGTTAAATCTTCGACTTCCTTAGCATATACTGCAGCTGTTTTATTTTTTTTGCTGTAAATTCATCAGTTTGGCAGATAAAACTTCTACTGATTCTCCTTTGACCGTTTTTGTCAGTTTACATATTATGTCAGCGATGTTGCTTTCATCTCCTATCAAATTGCGAGTGTGTCCTTTTAGTTTTGTTTTTATTAGTTGGACAGCGTTAGGTTCATAGGTTTCTTTGATAGTATTTACCGATCTTAGGGAGTCTATGAAACTTCGCAAGTTTTCTGCTTTGCCGTCGGACTCATGTATGAGCGACGACGCAGTTTTTAAGAATTGAACGTTGGTTTGAGTCATTGTTATGACTTCTTCGTCAAACTCGATCGGAGGTAAATTGTCGGGTTCCACTTTTATTGTGTTGTCTTCGATTTCTGAGGGATCAGTGAACCCAAAAAAATCTCCTTTGTTTTCTTCTAATAAAATGTCAGCCAACGATTTGTCGAAGTCTGAGTTTTGAGGGAATGCTAAATTGACCTCAATTTGTGAATGAAAGTTTTTTGGTATTTGAAATGATACACCCCAGCGGGAACATTCCTCTGGAAAATATGATATTTTCATGAGGTTTCTCCATACAAGCGGAAGGGACAAAACCTCATTTACCCCTTACATTTCTTCCGTCTCTGGTTTCAAAATACACGGGGGTGACACAAAAAGTAAGGGGGAAATGAGGTTTCTATGTGGTTTTCCTAGGGAAATTACATTTTCCCTACACCGTCGCCTGCTGAAAGATACAGGATTTCCAACACTTTCTGCTAAAAGGAACAGGATTTTCAGCACACAAAGAACCACCTTCTCACTTTCCCGGTGGGACCATTCTTTTGTAAGGCTTTGAGCTGGGATACTATCGATGGTCGCGTCATTCGATAGTTTCGATGTTTTCAAAGCAAAAATTCGATAGTATCAATAGTATGGTCATATTTACTTAATTTTTTTCCATATAAATTCAAGTTATTTTTGATATATGTAAAATTAAAACAAAATTATTCTATCCAGGAATTTTTCTGCAAAAATAACAAAATGTGCACATTATTCGCGTTTATTATTTTAATTACCTTTTCTCTTGAGATTCACAAACTTGTCCATTAGGGTGGGTCGATTTGGGACCCCAAAAATCGTATAGGGGGAACGTAATCTTTAAAGGATCGGCGAGCATACTTATGGTCTAAAATGGTCTAAACAGATATATTACTGAATATCAATTTCAAATTTTTATTTCAAATTTAGTAATGCATCTGAGCTGATTACTATGATATTTCCCTCAAAAAAAGCTGTATTTCTCATTCGCGTTTGGGGGGGGTCAAAAGTCATTTTAGACCATATGTTCGCCAATATGGCTTAGAATCTTTTAAAGATTACGTTCCCCCTATACGATTCATCACTTTTTTAGGCCCCATTCAAATTGACCCGCCCTATTGTCCATGCTTAGAGCCACCACCGCCGTTCAATTTAAGTTAAGCTAAAATGCGCTTTTATTAGAAAAGATATAATATTAAATGTTTTTAAATTTCTCTTACCCAAAGTCGCAACCAAACCTCGTTTATTTTTTGTAATGTCAGTGATGTGAAAAATGCCCAGCACCATCGATAGCGTCAAAAAACTATCGATGGTGAATCAGAAAGGAAAAAATTCGATATATCGATAGTGCCATCGATAGTATCCCAGCTATAGTAAGGCTTTCGATAATACAACGATTATACTTTCATGTATTTTTATAGCTAGATTAAAATGTGTAGGAGTTAACCTATCCGAAGTAACAGCTATTTCTCTTCTTATTTTATTTGTGTTTAAAATTATGTCGGACAGGTGTTTTAGCACTGTCTCTTCTCTTATGTGTGTGTTTTTATTGATACACTTATAGCTTTTTAATATGTTGTTCTTTTTTTCAATAAAGAACTTTTCTAACCTATTCCATCTGCCAGTCATTAGGTTAAGGCCTGATGGTTAGACTAACTACGAATTTTATAATTCTCCCGAGTTAATGGTTGTTATCTATCATAGAAATAACGCGAACCCCGGGAATTGTTGATAATACAATTGCTTTTCTGTTGCATTACAACTTATTAAGGGTGAGAAAGATAGTCCGAGTGCTGAAATGTATTTGTGTTCAAATTCATATATTGTTATTGGTAAATTTTCTCGGGCTAACAAAATTTGAGTTCTGTTATAAAAATCTGGTTCTGCCAGAATTACTAAATCTATTTTAGCTTGGGTTCTTGACATTCTAACTACCTTGACAACTAACTTTTAATTGTACCAGCACCAATAGCCGAGTCTATCTAGCCATGTCCGTCTGTCCGTTTCTATGCGAACTAGTCTCTCAGTTTTAAAGCTATCGCGATGAAACTTTCCCGAAGGTCTTCTTTCTATTGCAGGTAGTACATATGTCGGAGCGAGCCGGATCGGACCACTATATCTTAAGGCTCCCATAGGAATATTCAAACATATATAAGAAAATTCTTTGTTACTTTGTAGGAAGTAGGCGTTTTAATTCTTGACTACTTAAAAACAAAATTCAAAAATAGAAACGCTGAATCTGGAATCCTTGGAACTGCACCGAGTGAGTATTACTTAATCTGCAAGGGTATATAAGCTTCGGC